CGAGCACCTGCAGGACAAGTCTAAAGACAAAGAGAGACAAAGTCCAGACTTTAGAACATCAACACAGATCCTTTCATTCAGGACTGAATCTGCTGAAAACAAACATTATAGCTTTTGTGTCAGAATCCCTTAATTGGACCAGTTTAATTCCCAGTGTCCAGTGTTTTGTATAAGTTTTACTTCCCTTGCAGTCTTTTTTGCTCTGGCTTTTGGAGGAGGCGGATGCATCTTTCACCCTCTCCTTACCCTTATCTTCCCTGCTGCTGCTTCTATGTCCTTGTCTGGTCTTGTCTCACTCTAACCCTGAGAGAGCCTCTCATTCTTGCTCTTGTCCTCTAAAACCTAAAGAAGAACTATGGCTTTGATCAACTGGTCCCTTAATGCACTTGACACCCTTTTCTCAACGAGAAGCCTAGGATTGGGAAAGCCTGCGTGCCCTGGAGGGACTTTCCTTCCGGATACATGATTTATGGGTGGCAGAAGTGGTGCATCGTGTGCCTAGCGGGACTGTCTATTGAAGACATCGAAGACATCTACCTATTCAGCACCATGATAAAGGGGCTCTTCTTGATCGGAGCTGGCTTGGCCCTGGTTTATTGGAAATTGAAGAAAACGGTGAATGCTGTTCAAAAGCCCACAAGGCTGGCCGCTTTGATCGAAAATGTGGGAAGAGTGGTGAGTGCTCAGATTGCAATCATTGTGTCTATGCATGTCTAGTAGTTCCAGTTTTGAATTGTGTGTTAGCCTTTCCTTATTTCATTGTTACTGTGGATTCTGTTTATGTTTTCCTGGTGGATCACTTGAACAGCCGTTAATGAAGCGCTTTATGTTATGTATGTTGTCTGCCTACTGAACTGCATTTTGGGTCATCATTCCTCACTATGTGATGCAAACATCAAAGCTGTGGAAGAATTTTAGAGATTCAATCTGCCAGATCTGCCAGATTTAATCTTAAAATTCAGTAATGTAGGAGTAGTTACATGCAAATAACAATTGGGTAGCAATAATAAAACTCTGAGATGCAAATTTGGTATTTTTTGATAGAGCTTAACACATGCTGTTGATGTGTTAGCAGAATGTTGTACCGGGAGGCAGCTGTACTCCTGTTTAGGGCACACGTGGAGTTTGCAGTGCAGGTAGACGTCACCAGAGCTCCCAGTAAACTGGAACATACTGAAGGAGAAGTAGTTGGAGGTTCCCAGTCCATTTTCCTCCACCTGCACCGTCTGGTCAGCAGGGTTGGCACAGCTGCTCACAGATAGGAAAACACACTTTGTTCAGGAGTCCATGAGAGAGATCAAAACCACATGACTGTCTGAGTCTGTCTCACCTGTTTATGATCAGGTCGTATCTCGGAGTGCTGTCGGGTGATGGCTGGTTAGTGGCCCAGCAGGAGTCGGTCACCACGACGACCACGTCTCCGTCCAGCCCGTCAGTCTTCAGCTCCACCCAGATCTTCTGGTTCAGCTGCACCTCAGTGCTGGACTCCACAGCTTGTGTGTGGCTGACGTCCGTGAAAGCCTTCATGATCAGAGTGTAATCCCAAACTCCAGATGTGATGTGCTGGATCACAGAGCTGCAGAACACAAACACACTTCAGCTTTCTCTGACAAACCTCATGAGAAGCTTCACATCTTAAAGTAACTCAAAGGAAACCAGCAGCCACCACACACCTGTCTCTGATCCTGAAGGTCTCAGTCTTGATGTCCGGTGGAGTTTGGACGCAGGAGAAGTCGATGTAGACTTGGTCGTGACGAGTGATGATGTCAGAGGAGCTGTTCTGGGTCATGATGGTGTTTTTGTAGATGAGTTGACTGTTGTTGGTCTGCGGAGTCACAAAATGAGATCTTGCTAAACAAGAGTGTATAATTTTTTAATGCTGGACATCAGGAATCAACAGAGATCTGTTATGTTTCTACAACTTACCAGCTACTATGATTACTTGGTCAACACAAAGAAATAGGAATGC